AAAAAATACTTTTTTTCTTTTTTAGACTGTTGAACTTGCAATAAATGATATTCGAAAACAAGATCGAGGAATTTATAAATGTTTAGCTATTAATCTAGTTGGATATGGTGATATATGGACTCTTAAAGTTAATGTTAAATGTATATTTAATATAAAAAAACAAAACAAAAATATAAATATAATTATTAATTTGTTTTAGTTCCACCATATATTCGATGTCCATATCCAATGGTTGGTCAAGCAATTAATTTTTTAGTTGATATTTATGTTGAATGTTATGTACATGGTTATCCTCCACCACGTATAACATGGTTAAATAAAACAAATAATTAATTAATTATAGAAAATATATTTTATTTGAATAGGTATAAAAATGATTATGGTGGTCAAATATCTGATACAATGAGTGTTGATGTTCTTCGACCAATATGGAATTCTTATAAATATAAAATAGAAGCAACAATACCTGAACCAAATATTTGTACTGATTGTATATTATCACGTTTAACAGTTATAAATGTATTAGCTAGTGATTTGGGTTCATATGTTATTAATGCAACAACAAATGATAAACCTTATCGAACAACAATTTCCTCAGTATTTATATTTGGTATGTTATCAATAAGAAAAAAAAACCAAAATATATGATTTTCATTTATTTATTTATTTATTTATTTATTTATTATAGAAACACCTGATTGTCAACAATTTATAACACATCGTAATAATATTGGTTGTAAACGTATTCGTTTTACAACTAGTAGAGCTTCATCAAACATTTTTCAATATCTTATTTTATTAATCGGAATTTTTACCGCAATTTTAATCTAAAACAAAAAAGAAAACATTTAAAAAATTTTTTTTCTATGTTTATTCGATCTCAAACGGAATAGTAAACGATCTTTTTTGACTATGATTTTCTATCTGATCCCTTTTTCTTCTTCTATTTCTTTTTATAAATATAATTCATAAATATCAATATATGTAGTATTGACATTCCACAGAGAATAATATATCATAATTATATGATTTAATGATTTAAAATTTAAGTTCGATATATATATATTATAAAATAGTTCAATTAATATGATAGTATAGAACATAGGATTATATATAATAAATTATCCTATTATTAAATAAAATAATTCTACAACTTTTATTGATATATTCAATATATTTTCTTTCAATATTCAATTTTTCTTAAAACTTTATTTGTTTCAATAGATAAGTATATCATCGAAAAATTTTCAAATTGAACAGTTTAATAGATATTTATTCTTTATATGAAAAACAATATTCTAGTAGCATTTTATCTCTATTTGGAAATGAATTTTGATGTTACATATATAT